AATAACTAGTCTGGGCACCTCTGGCTTGAGCCAGATCTATGACTTTCTAGGGAGTTGGCACCAAAGTCAGAATGCTAAAATAAATATCTTTCGTGTTTGAAGTGGAATACAGGTATTTTGACTGGAAAGACTAGTCTAATAAATCTTAACTCTTCACAGTTAGTAACCCCATCACAACCATATCAAAAATTAGTCATCTTTCTGTTGTTCTTACTTTATTATCTAGGGATGGGACTATCTTCCTCAAATGTATCTAATATAAATCTTGCTTTCAACTTCTTTTTGACATAATTCTTTCATTTACCACTGAATCTTGTTTTAACTTTCTAAAGGGTAAAAGTATTATCCCATACACTTCGTTAAACTCTTCCTCAGTGGTAAAAAGAATGCTTTTGGCCCACTATGAGTTGTTCTCCTCATGAAAATGAGCTTGCAGTAAAACACACGCACACAAAAGTGTCCTGACTGGTGACTATTTGAAAGGAGGTCATAGGGTAAAATGTTTTTCTCTGTGTAATATTTAAATTTAAGAACCCTGACCTTGGCCTTCCAAGTAGCAGACTCTGTTTGCAAGTGCAAATGTCTTCTTAAGCTTGCAGGAACATTTTTATATATTTTCCACCAAATTTAAGTGAGTCTCTGGAGAAAAGACTGCACTCAAAACTGTTCCATCATCAACGTGACAAAAATTAGTTATACAAAACATAATGAAAACTCAAGGCGGCCTAAAGCAAAAGCCAGTGTTAGTTTTCATTACATAAGTCTCATAACTGTTTTTTTTTAAAGTTTAACCAATGAAAAATTGTTCTTCAATGCTAATTTTATGAGATTATCCAGACCATATCCCATAAGAATTAAACCCAGGTATCTCCAAGTGGCCCCTGAAATAATAGCACCCTTTTTTTTCAACCATAAAAGGATGAAAATTAGGATGGCTGTTACCTACACAAAATTGATAGCATATGCAGTTCTAAACTCTTTCCAAAGTATAAATTGAAGAAAAGAGGAATTATGTCTCATTCATCTTGGTTACTACAACACTTGATGATGATGATGGTGATGATGGTGATGATGATGATGGGATAACATCTATTACATACTTATTGTGCATAAATAGGTTTACACATATTATCTTACAGTATTTAATCTCCATTACGCCCAAATTTGTTATCCCATTTTACAGATGAAGAAATCAAAGAACAAAGAAGGTCAATAACTCCTCATGGCCCAAAATCACACCACTATTAAGCAACAAAAGATTCAAACCAAGCAATCTTATCTAAAGCAGAAGCACTTAAAACAAACCAGTAACCCGCAAAGATATATATTTGCTGAAATCAGCTTAAAAGTATTTGACCAAATACTTTTATAGACATGTACACATTTTAAAAATGCACACAAGGGCCAGGGATTTAGCTCAGTGGTGCCGCCGCCTGCCTCGTAAGCACAAGGTCCTGAGTTCGATCCCTGGTACCAAAAAAAGAAAAAATGCACACAAACTATATCTACTCTTTGCTCCCACTGATCCAATTACTTTGAAGGTATAATCAGGCACAGGAAACAGAACACAAGCAATCTGACAGCAAAAAACACCTATTTTTAAAAATATCTTTAATTTTTTATTGTGTCCTACCAAAAGGACAGAATCGGAGAATCTTAGGCTAAAATACAAAAAGAAAAGAAAAAAGAAATCAAAGCAGGCAGCACAAAGACAGGGTGAACTACTGACCAAAGTATGTCACAGATGAATATTTGCTCCTGTGCCCTGTTCTGCAGTGACGCGCTCTAAGCACTGCAGTGCTGCCAATATGAAGTCTGAGCTCATGAATGCTGTGCTGCAAAAGTACCCAAAAAACAAACATTTCCTTTGCTCTACTGATTTTATTGATTCCAGGGTCCCACTCTAGGAAGTTTGAGAGTTAACAGGATTTGGGAAAGGGCCAGCTTTTCATTGTTGCATGGGGTACAGAAGTTCAGCAATAAGTAAAGTTTATTTTAGCCTCTTAGTCCTTGGAATGGGTCATGTAAGAAAAGTGATCATAAATATTTCTCTGATATTCAGAAAATACCTATTACCTAACCCCTTTCAGCCAACACAAGTATCATCTGAATTACCCGAGTCTGATTCTATATATGGTTATAGAAAAACCCAGACCATTCAGTGATTTGCAGAGGGGGAGGCCATCAATTAAACACCTCAAAAAGATAAAACAAAAAATAGTACATTACAGAAACAGATGGAGTAAAAATAACTTTTTGCTTCCAAATGATTTGACTTCAGAAGGTAAATGCTGCATTGCTTCCTACCTGAGCAACTTCTAGTATCTATGCACCTTCCCCACCATTATATAACTAAACCATGGCATTAATAGGCCATCGTACATTATGTCAACAGCTGCTAGGCACATCTAAGCTGTCAGCAATTGAGAACCCCTTCCAAAGTGGACTCATAAGCAAGAAGCAGGCCAAAATATGTTCATCGTTCATCCAGAGCACATGACAACTCCTTGTGAATTAAGCTTTACTTGTGTCCTCAGAGTAATTTAAACAGCAAAAGATAGGACACTTGTAACTAAATAGGAAATTGCACACTGCCACAGAGACACAAATGAATGCTGGTGTGGTCTCTTCCCACATGCAATCCATTGTCCAAGCCATTTCAGTCTTATTCAAGAGTTTGAATATTTCCATACATAGAAATTGCATAACCACACACCTCAAATGATCAAAGGTAAAATCCACATAAACAGTGACGTCCATTAATAAACAAGCCAATCTTTTAAATGCTACAGTCCTAAAGGATACCAAAGTCTCAGGGAAAAGCTATGAAACACAAGCATGCATGCACACACACACACACACACACACACACACACACAAATTAGAAAGTGGGCAGACCAGCCATAATTAGGCACTAGGTTTGCTGACTACTGAAGACAGAAATGTCTCTTTTATATACAAAGCCAAAAATCAACTGTTTGCAATTATATTTACAAAAACATTCAGCCTCATCTGTTGTAGAGTATTTTTTTCGTTTTTTAATCAATATTTTGGTATATTCAAGGCCTGGAAGATTCAAGTTTCTTTAAATCATAGAGACCATAAACCAGACAACCAATTAAGTCATGGAGCCCATTCCCCAGAGGTCAGAACAAAATAATCACAGAAGCACGTGATTACTTGGGAAAGAGGGGGATAGCAAAACAGGGAACAAGGCATATTGTTTATAAATATAAATTTGGCTACTATTAAGTAAACAGGTCTGCATACACTCCAGGGTACAGACAGAGTCTAGGCTATCTACTTCCCCTAAGGGTCTGAGGGTAACATCAGGGAGTCCTGGATTTGGGTATCTCATTCAGCTCTGATCTTCAGACTTGAGGCCTTCTGATAAAAACTGACAAAAGGCTTAAGAGGGCCCTCCAGAGGGAAGTGAAACTGATCAATCAATTCACCACAACCACACACACACACACTGGCCACCCTGGTAATAAGGGCCCCTTGTAGCCTTAGAGAGAGGGGCAGCGGAAGGAACTTCTAGGCTGCAACGGAGCAGGAGAGAAGGCCTAGATAAGCCACTGCCCTCTGAAAACAAGCCATAAAAGCAAATAAAAGCAAAAACCAGGTGGGTTATGACAACCAAAGGCAAGGCTGAGGAGGTGAGGGGAACTGATATGGCTTTTGCAGGAAGCAGCAGCAGCGTGTAAGGGCTCTTCATTCCTCAGGCTGAGGGAAAACACAAACTGCAGTTTTAAACACAATGAATGACTACATTAAAAGTATTCACTCAAGTGAGATATTGAGCAAAGAAAAATTTGGAGGTAAAATGGGCTCTGTGAGTTCCACTAAAACTAAAGGATCCCAAAAAACAAACAAACAAAAAACTGAAGGATTCCCTCGATTTTAGATTCCAATATTCCCAATAAAGCCTATATCCCCCCCCCAAAAAAAAGAGAGAGAGAGAAAGAATCCATATGTAGACATATATGGCTTCCTAACTGACCTTAGCCAATTTCACTACTATAGCTCCTCAAATCCCTTAGGAACGAAAGGGCCCAATGAGTATAATCCTCTGGTGCCTGGACTCTTCAGTCACAAGCTCTTCCCTCACCACGAAAGCCCATCCTGAGTTCTTATAAAGCCCACAATTCCAGACCCTCCAAAGACTAAAAATAACCATCAACCCAGCTCTTCCCAACAGTTTAACCCTTGATTAGCTAGTGACACCATAAACCTGAGTCTCCACCCCCACCCCGGGGCCTCTGTTTCCTGGGGCCTTCCCTACAGGCATGCAAAACAATTTTTCTCCTTATTTCCCCATTTCCTTCATTGCCTCCACCAATAACTGTGTCTCTCCTCAGGCTTCCTCCATTCGCACCAACAACCTATCAGTTTTAGATTATCAAATGCGGATTCCTATCTCTGTCGTAAGGCACCGGGTTCCTCATACCTCCCAGTACTCTGCACCCACTATACTCCCCAGTCCATGCCCTAGCAGTCCTGGGGCCCCCGAGAAGCCCAGGTCTGCCAGTCTGCTTGCCCTGTCCTTCAGGTCCACATTTCATAAGCTCCTGCCCTCATTCTCTTCTGACTTCCTAATTGCTGGTTCCGGAGTCTTCTGGGTTTATAGTCTGCTGGCCCCCCGAGAGTCTCAGCCTCTTCTTTCCAGTCACCCTTCTACTACCCTCCGCGCGGCCCCGAGGACCCTTTCCCATACCCAGCTGCTCAGTTCCCAGGTCCTGGGGCTCAGCGACCCCCCCCCCACCCCGTGCTGAGGAGTTTCCACTCGCGGGTCCGTGGTGTCCCTGCCTTCTTCACAAGCGTCCACCCAGACAGTCCCCTGCCAGTCACCCCGGGCCCTGACGATCCCCCAACATGAGGATCCCACTCGCTGCCCCGACCCCTGAGCCCCGGGAGTCGCGGATCCTCCTGGCCCCGCCACACTCGGACGATCCCGGGCTGCGCAACCTCACGGCCGCGCGGTCCCGTTGCGCCGGTACCTTGGCCTTGGTGACGAGGTGCGTGGCCCGCTTGACCACAGCAAAGTTGCCCTTGCCGATGGTGCGGTCGATCTCATAGTAGCCGATGCGCGCCGGCATCGGCCCGCGGGAGGCAGGGGCTGCGGGACGCGGCGGGCCGGTCGCAGGGGACACGGCAGCGGGGGCGGCCGGGGGCCCGGGCGCGGGCGGAGGCAGCAGGCGACCCACCGGCCCGGATCCCCCAGCTGCGGCCACGGCAGCCCCGCCAGCTCCGCTCGCCGCCGCCGCCGCCGCCGCCATCTTGTTGTGCAGTGAAACCTCCGGGGCCGCGGGAGCCGGCTGGAGGGGAGGGGGCAGGGGGGCGGGAAAAGGAGGGGGGCTGACGGACGTCACTCCGGGAGGCGGGGCTCCCGCGCCGCCGGGCTCCCGGCGCCATGGCAACCGCTCGTCACGTGCCGACGCGCGTCACTACCCGGAGCCATGGCAACCGTGACCTCACTGGCGAGCTCGACCTTCCCGCGTGGGCCCGGGTTCCTTAGGCGCTGGCTCCCGCGTGCCCCGCTCTGGGGAGCAGGCAGTGGGAACCTCAAGTGTGCCAGCAACTTCGAAACCTCCACCGCGTTTCCTGAGTTGAGGGTCTGCGATGCCTGAGCCCATTGGCCCTGAAATCACAGTGTCACCCCTACTGTGACCTGTGTTCCAGTTCAACAGCCTCCCTTAAAAGTATTTCCTCATCACCAGAATTACCAGCCTTGTCCTCCTTTAGCCCTTGAGGCCACAAAGGCAGGCATAGCTACAGTATTTAAGCAACAGTAACCAAGTTGGTAGCAAGGCAGAGGAATTGTTCAGTAAAATTCCTTCCTCTTACAAAATCCAGCTCACCTTGTACAATTGATCTAATTGTCACAGAACCTAGAAGAATGGGGAAACTAGGATTTGCGTGTTCCAAGGCGGAGAAACCAGCCCAACCACGCATTCTAGTCAGTGGGTGGGTGAGGGCCAGAGAAGATTCGTCGTTTTGCTTCCTACCACCCCCGTCTCTGAACGAACTGTAGCCAGGTGTCTGTCAGAGTGTCTGCACAGTTTTTGTTATATTTATAACCCGATGAAGCAGTGGTGCACATTATTTGGTGAGCACTCGTGTTTAAAGATGAACAGTCCGTTAGGCAAAATAAATAAGTAAATAAAAATTCCATCCTTTCTAGTGACTCTCCAAGGACATTAAAAGTGATCAAATTAATAATTGCAACAATAAAACTCATCTCTTTTTCTTTCCTCCTCTATCATCTGACATTCCACATTCTCCACTAGTTCCCAGGCTTCCCCCTCCTCCCTTCTCCCTCTTCATTAAGTAGGTTGATTTAGCTGCCTTACATGGGGATAGAAGGTAGGAAATTGGGCTGTCAGTGGAAGATAGCCTTTGGCTGGACAGGAAAGCAACGGAGAAGACTGTGTATACTTCTATGTTAAAATGTATCCCTTCAGTCTAGTCTTAATCCATCCACATCTGTCTTTCTCCATGGTAGCACTGCATTGTCAGGTCCCTGAATGTACAGTATTAAAAAGTGACACCCATGGCACTGTAAATATGTGACAAGATAAACATATATTACTCTCTCTGACCAAAAGACATTTCCTAGTGCTCTGATGCCCCATCTGACTTTTAGTAATGGTTGGAACTAGGATGGGGCAGAGGGGTTAACCCACAATTGTCTTGGATCATTTCCCTGGTGGCTCTTCCAAATTGCCAACATAACGCTGATTGGCTCCTTTACAAGCAAATAAGGATAAGGATAGAGTGGACTTCTCTTCTTGTGCTTTCAATTGAGCTTATTCATTTCCAGATAAATGATGGAACGTGGTCAGTCTTTCTTACCATTTCATGGCCCTCCCCATGAGTGTTGAGTCCCAGAGCTCTGGTTTAACCACCTCACAGGGAAACTCAATAGAAAACTTAGCTGCCTGATATACAAAAGAAAAAACCTTTCACCCTGGAAGCTGAAACCACTCTCACTAGTGACTACATTTATGAGTGTCATCCACTCATGGAGATCATTTGAACATCAAATCAAATCACTTTTGCTGCTCTCGCAAAAATATCAAAAACAACAGTGGGGAGGCCCTAGAAAATGAAGCATTGATCTAATTTCCAAGGAGAAGAGACAGATCACCCTTGTTCCCCAAAATGACCAAAATATAGCCATATAGTATATTTTATGTCATTTATGCTCCCAGACTAGTAGGTGGTGTGTCTAATTGAGACTTGAATAGCATTGCTAGAGATAGTTCTGAAGATTTCCCTTTCATTAGAAAAATAAAGAAAATTAGGGAGGGGATTAATCAAAAGAGATCATCAGGGGGAAAGGAAAATTGTTTGTTTTTTGTTTTTGTTTTTTTGGAGACAGGGTCTTGCTACATATTTCAAGCTGACCTTGAACTCACTATGTACCCAAGTTGGTCTTGAACTCACAGCAATCCTCCTGCCTCATCCTCCTGAGTGGTGGGAAAAGAAAAATAGTTTAAATGTATATATTTATTAAGTATGTATTGAGTACCAAAGACTGAGATTTTAGGAGAGACTCACAGTTGATAATAGCAACTTAGGGGCCGGGGATTTAGCTCGGTGTTTCTGCTGCCTACCTCACAAGTGGAAGGCCCCGAGTTTGATCCCTGGGACCAAAAAATAAAAAATAAAAATAATAGCAACTTAGGAGCTGAGGGTGTAGCTGTGATAGAGTAACATTAACTTCCTCAAAGCCCTGGGTTCAATCCCCAACACCACAAAATAATAACAAAAATAACAATCTGCCAGGCACTATGCTAAACAGTTTACATATGTGAACTCACTTAAGCCTTATAGCAGATCCAAGAGATACATTATATTATTATCCCTGCTTTCCAAATAAAGCCAATGAGGTATAGAGGGATTAAGAGAATTGCCAAACTCATAGAGCCAGAACATATATGGGGTAAAAAACTGAGACCCAAATCCAGGCAACCTACCTTTGGAGCCTAAGAACATTCCCTAGGATATTACAATCCCTATCAAGGTAGGAGCCAGAAGGAAAAGTAGCTTCTCCAGAAGCCAGGGTAACTGAACTCAGTTTAGACTCAATGCTATGGTTTAGATCTGCAATATCTCCCAAGGGCCCTTGGCTCCTGGAAGATGATGGCCCTGTAAAGAGGTGTGGCCTAAGGTCTTTAGGTGATTGGGGGATGGTCTCAAAGGGGACAACTCTGTCTCTTTCTTTCTCCCTTTCTTTCTCTCCACCCAAGAAATGAACACTTTTGCTCCACCATGCATTCCTTTCCTGCTGCCTCACCACAAGGCCCAAAGCATCAGGGTCAACCAGTCATGAACTAAACCTCAAAAACTATGAATCAACCAGGCATAGTGGCGAACGCCTGAAATCACAGCACTCAGGAGGCTGAGGCAGGAGGATCACTGTGAGTTCAAGGCCAGCCTGGACCGCATAGTGAGTTCAAGGCCAGGCTGAACTACATAGTGAGACCCTGTCTTAAAAAAAAGAAAAGAAAAAACTGTGACTCAAAATGAACCTTTTATAAGTTGATTATCTCACATATTTGTTATAGTGATGAAAAGCTGACTAACGCACTCAGAAAAGATAAGGACTTTGAGAGTTCCTGAAAACAGGACAGAGCAGAAACGGAAGCATGTGAATAAATGTAACAGATTACAAAACTGAACAAAGTACCCATGATGTTGTCACTTGTAAATGGTACCCAGAAGAGACTAACCATGTATTGTGTAAAAGTATCACTGCCCTCATGAAATGGGCCAGTGTGTCTCTTCTGTCCTATTATGAACTCAAAGAGGGGCTGCATTCTCAGAGACCCTAAAGTCCAGGGAAGAGACAGAGAGCACCACCCAACTCCAATCAGCAACTAGGCCCAACTCATTCTTTTCTGGAAAAGTAAAAGATAGATTCAAAGACAAAAATCAGACTTTTTCCATGTCATGTCACTATGTCTTTTTCCAGAGTTTGAAAAAAGAAAAACACCAGTCATTCTTGATGGAATGGTAGAAAATTAGAAACTTCCAAAAAGATACAAAACCTAAGGACCTAAAGGCTAACCTGAGAGGGATAAAAACAGTGGCATGTAGCACATTAACTCTTTATGATTTCAAAGGCCCGCTTAATCTGTGTGCTGGGCAGTTTATCAGCAAACAGAAAGAAAACTGCAGCCTCACAATGTTGCTCCATGGACTCTCAAAGTCATGAGGACCTTAAAGAAAGCCCAACCCTTTACATTGATCCAATTCTTACTTCTCTGAAAGAAGCTGACATTATGCAAGCAATCATTTGATACACAAGCATTATTCAGAAATTTTATATACCAAAAACTCAACATCACAGAATGTTTTCATGCCACTAATTTTGTAAACAAGGAAATTCCTAGCTGACTATAAATTCTGCCATCACATAGAATCAGGTCACTGCTGGGCACACATTGTCTGAACACTCCAAATGCCCTGATTCTCTAGGAGAGCTGAATGTGTGCCTTCTCTTTGTTAAGGCTTGTTTTGCATCACCAGCTGTGTGCTTTTGCTTCTTCCTCCTCCATCCTAGATCAACCTATTGGTGGTCAAATGTTTCCTCTGAGTATGTAGAAGCAGGTCTGAGCAGTTAAGGATAACTACCTAGTCTCCTCCTCTACAACATTGTGGGGAGGAGGCATAAAAGAAGCTAAACAAGTTTTCAGTCAAGAATTCTCTCTTCAGTTCACCTACATTTTTTGTTTTGTTTTGTTTTCCAGTAATGGGAATCCAACTCAGGACTTTGTGCTTGACAGGCAGGCCTGGTGCCACTGAGCTAAGTCCCTGGCCCACCCATGTTTTTTTTAATCTAACCATTCAAGCTACAACAAAAAATATAGAAATTACCATTGTGTACTTATATTCTACAATATGGTTTAAACATTTTTAGGTTTTTGTTGAATATCCTTTAAATCTCTCCAAATCTCTTTTTTTTTTTTTGGTACCGGGAATCAAACTTTGGACCTTGCGCTTTCGAGGCAAGTGATGGAACCACTGAGCTAAATCCCCAACCCCTCAAATATCTTTATGATTTGATTTGGGGAGGGGACAGGGTCTTACTTTATATGCCCAGGCTGGCCCCAAACTCCAATACTCAAGGGACCCTCCTGCCTAACCTCCAAAGTG